ATATCTGAAAGATAAAGACAGTTGAGGAGCACCTGAATGGGTAAGCTAGATTTTTTTTTCCTATTTCAGATTCTTTCACAATTTCTCCTGATACCTTTCTCTGAACCATTCTTTGAAATCCAAGCGTTGCTTGTGTTCTACTCTTACAGAGCCTGAAACATGGGGGGAGAGATAACTTAAGTTTCCTGGCATTCTTAATGAGATGTTAAAGAAACATTTGTCTGGGGTTCAGTGATACTTTACATTTCACTTTGGTTTCTTTTTTTTTTTTTTTTCTCTTTCAAATTGATGTGAGCTCTGACACAGAGATATTTCAAGTTTATCTAGATCCTTGAGCATATCCAGGGTCCTTTCAGATGTCCATAACATCAAAATTATTTTTTTCAAAATTATTTTTTAATAAAACCAAGATATTTGTCTTTTTCACTGTGTTGATGGACATTTGCACTCAGGGTACAAAAGTCACAGTAGATACAGTATCTGGCACCTAGTGTCATGGCAGAGTATATTTGTACACCCAAATTGTACTCATTTTATTCTATTCCACTATGCACTCAAAGTAAAAGTCAACATAAAAATGCCCTAATGGTGCAGAAAATGCATTCATTTTTTAAAATTCTCAATCCTTGTGTATGCAGCTTTTTAATGTGCTGTGCATAAAAGCAAAAGTATACATCAAAGCAAGTCTGGTGCATACCAATATATAATCACTGTCTTGAGGAATAACACTTGTGCAATTTTTTTAAGTTGCTAGTTGAAGTAGCCATTATGAAAACATGACTTGAAAAATAACTAAAAGATAATCTGTGGCTCTTCAAATCTGAATATTTTGCAGCCATTTTCTCAAAAATTAACAAAGTAAGCCTGCCATTTTGAGGAAAGCAGCTGACAGTATTTGTTTCCCAATAATAAACCTCAAGATTTCTAGTAAAAATTAGAATTTTGGAAAATGTATATTCTTCACAATGAGCTTCAGAGCTCCACCATGGTTTTTGATGAGTTCAGTAGTAATAATAACTAATGTGATTTTTTAATATGATATAATAAAATATGTCAATCTTTGAAAGATACCCATTACTCAGTGAATCAGTATTTTTCAAATAACCAATAAATGATGTTCCAGAATCCTGCAAAGGTAAAATATCCATTTAAAATGCAAGAAATACCAATGGAATTTTAATGTAACAGAGGATGTAAAGATTATTAGTATAGTTCCAGATTCCACATTGCAACTATACTTTAAGGAACTACCACTTACCCAATTTGTATATGTTTAAAAAGACAGTTTAAATAATGCTAATTTTCCAGTTACATTCTCTGTGAAGCTGGAGTTCATGTACTTCCACCAAAGCAACGATTCACAATAGATTGAATACAGAAGTAGGTATGAAAATCCAACAGCTTTTGTTAAACTTAACATTGAAAATTATTGTAAAAGTAAAGAATACTCCTCTCTCTATTTTTGTTTTGTAAGATATAATTACTTTTCACAAAATATGTTATTTAGGTTAATGTGTAATGGATTTTATTATTGTTATTTTTAAATAAGCTACTCAATAAATATTTGAAAAATTTCTCAGCTTTAAATTCTTTTTTTTTCAGTTTTAAATTCTAATCCAATAAATATTAAAAGATGCAAATAATGTAAACAAAAGCTCTTTAGGATTCCTCAATTGATTTGAAGTTTATTAAAGAGTCCTTAGACCTAAAAGTTTGAAAACTGATTGTAACAATTTTTTTTTTTTTTATTTTTTTTAATTTTTTTTTCAACGTTTATTTATTTTTGGGACAGAGAGAGACAGAGCATGAACGGGGGAGGGGCAGAGAGAGAGGGAGACACAGAATCGGAAACAGGCTCCAGGCTCTGAGCCATCAGCCCAGAGCCTGACGCGGGGCTCGAACTCACGGACGACCGTGAGATCGTGACCTGGCTGAAGTCGGACGCTTAACCGACTGCGCCACCCAGGCGCCCCTGTAACAATTTTTATTTTAAAATACATGTACAATATCATTTTGCTCTAATGAAAAATTCTCTCTCTACATATCTATCCATTTATCTGTATTAAAGCTGGCCACTTTTCAGGGTTGTAATTTCAGGTTGGTTTAGTATGCTAATGTTGGTATTTTTCTTAAAGTCATTATCTTAAATACGTATATTCACAATAATAAAAGAAAAAAAGGAAATAAAGATACTCAAAAATATTAAAAATATATATTTCACAAATGTCTGAGAATTCAGTAAATACATAATAAATACACAGTAAGAATTAATTGCTTTGATTTTGGATCAATTGGAAACCAAAAGAGAAAGAAATGAAAATTGACCCCTGTAGTTTCCTATGGCTGCTGTAGCAAATTACTATAAATTTAGTGTCTTAAAACAAGAGAAAGTTATTTTTTTACAGTTCTGGAAGCCATAAGTCCAAAATGTGTCTTAGAAGCCTCAAATGATGTTGCAGCTTTGGCTCTTTCTGGAGGCTCTAGATGAGAACCTGTTCCTTGCCTCTCCAGCTTCTGGTGGCCACTTGCCTTCCTTGGCTTGTGGCTGCATCATGCCAGTCTCCACCTCTGTAGTCACATAGCCTATCCTCTTCCATTGTCAAATCTCCCTCTGCTTCCCTTTTAGAAGGACACATGTGACTAAATTTTAACACAACCAGATAATCCACAATAATCTCATCTCAGAGACTTTCATTTAGTTACACCTGCAAAGTCTCTTTTACCATATAAGATTAACATTCACAGTTTCCAGCAATTCGGACATGGATATCTTTGGTGGCCATTATCCAACCTATCACAACCACTGCTTCACATCATGTACAGAAATCGATTCTACATAAAATATAGATCTTTAAAAAGCTTACAAAAGATAAGCTAAGAAAATAACCTTATAATTTTGAAGCAAAGATATCTTAAAGGTGACATAAAAAGCACTAATTACAACCATAAAGGAAACAATAAATAGACCTGCGCCAAAATTAAGACCATATGGGGCACCTGGGTGGCTCAGTTGGTTAAACATCAGACTACTGATACCAGTTCACATCATGATCTCACAGCTGTGGGATCAAGCCCCACATGGAGCTCCAAGCTGATGGAGCTCCAAGCTGAGCAAGGGGCCTCCCTGGGATTCTCTTCTGACCCTCCCTGACTTGTGGGTGCACACACTCTCTCTCTAAATAAGTAGACATTAAAAAAAAGATTGTTAAAAAAATCTATGTACTTACATATATGTCTAAAGTTTATTATTAAGTGAAGAGAGAAAGATGAATAAGGCTACTTATTGCATTATTTTTTTAAAAAACTTTTTAATGTTCATTTATTTTTGAGAGAGAGTGAAAGAAAGGGTGGGAGAGGAGCAGAGAGACAGGGAGACAGAGAATCCAAAGCAGGCTCCATGCTGTCAGCCCAAAGTCGGCTGTGGGGCTAGAACCCACAAACTGTGAGATCATGATCTGAGCCACCCAGGCATCCCCATTATTTTATTTTAAAAAATTAAGGCTATATAAATATTTGGGTGTGTGTGTGTGTATGTATATATGTATATATATACACACACATGATAGAAAAGAATACCTCAAAGTGGGATGAAAGAATGAGCTGGAGAAAGGGAAAATATTTCTTTTTTTATTGATTTTTTTTATTTTTTATGAAAGACAAAAATTATAATACAAATAATTAACGATAATAATAAACCAAGTTCTGTAATACTCAACAGGTGCCAGAGACTTTTATTATTATTTTTTTTAATTATCACAGTAATTCCAATAATTACTTGCTCTCTTCATCCCATTATAGTATATGAGGAAACTGAGGCTCAGGATAAGATCATCTTGCTATTAAGAAACAGAGGCAGAAGTTAACAGAAGTTAATTTCATGTGAAGTTAAATGATGTTAATGCCATGGTAGTCTCAGCCTGTGAAAAATAATGTATATTTCTGATATAGTATTACTACATTGAATAGTTATCTAATAATGCTCCTAGCCATCTCACTAAGTCATTAGTCCTAGGGGACAAAAGATTGTGTTTTTTGAAAGAATGATTGTAATTGAATAAAACATAAATAAAATCACTAATTTCATGGAATATTTGTTTTTTTAAAGGTAGTGAGAAAAATACCGGACAACAGTTTCTTCATTTATTTCTCATGGATGGAAGGCCCACAGTTAAATATGGATGTGGAAGTTCTCACAATATCTTGACTCTTTCTGCTAATTATAGCATTAACACAAATGCATTCATCCCTATCACAATACGGTAAGTCTTCCACAGTAGTTCTTTGAATTATACTGTTGAAACTTATTTTTTCAATGTTATTTATATGTATAATAGCCACCCAGATATGAAAAGAAGGACAAAAAGGTCCATCTGAAAGTAGTCTCACTAATCAGTGTTTTCAGTTTGATGGATAAAGTATAAATTAAACTAAGGTATAATATGATACCATCCAGTGGCAATCCAATTACATACAGAATGAATTTCTTTGAAAAATACCATGGAGCAAATAAATAGGTTAAAGAATCCTGTGGTCCACTTGAAATTAAGATCCGGTAGTTGTTCAAGAAAATATCTATTGAATGAAAATAGCCGTTCAGAACTGGGGAGTTGGGGCAGGTGGCCATTGACTCTGCACAGAAAAAAGAAAATCCAGTAGGAAAAAAAAATGAATATTAGATGGAAATGCTTTCTGGGGCATATAAACTTTTGGAAGGAAGTCTTGGAATTAATTCATACTTCAGAATTAGGACATCTCAGAAGAGAGAGATGACTAAATATGATGGTCACATCCCAAGGGTATTACTGAACAAAATTTAAATGTAGCAGCCAAGAATTTAAAATTCTTTATCAGTATAGCAATCTAGTGATAATGGTCTCTAAAGTTACTATGTGTCAGTTAAAAATAACATTTTGTGCCTGAGTTTGTATGTTAGATGACAATTGGATACGTTAGTCTGATTAGCTGGAATCTTGGCTAACCTGTGAAGGTTATATAAATCAAATAAGCTTTCCCAGAGTCTGTATCAGTCTGAAAATAAAATCAAGGAAATTGACACCAATCTGAAAATGGAAACTCCTTACAGGCAGGGACAGCATCTTACTCATTTTTAATGCAGTTTGCAGGACATCTGACAGAAAGATGCTCAGTAAATGTTTGAATGAAGAAAGGAGAGTGTCTGGGGCTGGGCAGATCAGTTGGTTATGACAAGAAGGCAATAAAATTACCCTAAGGTAATGAAATTATTATTCACAGATTAGGAAGACCCTTTGGGAAAAGAGAGTTGTGTGTAGACAAAGCAAATTTTCAGAGCAATGGACTTAACCATCTCTCTTACAAAAGTTGCAGTTGCTCATACAAAAAAAGAGCCAGATGAGGAAGTGAATAACTTAAAAACCAATTTAAAAGGCATTTTGATTGATAACACCCTCATTTTATACAGTGTAATCATTTCACACAAACAATGGCACATTTGATCACATATGAAGTAATTTCTGTTTTGATCAAACTTACTTAAAGGGATGATTTTATTTCTTGCCTTTAAGTAATGAATACTTAACTAGGCAGTCCTCAAACCACTCAGAGCCTTAGGTAGCCCGAAGGTGAAACCATCCTTTAAAAAAATATTGATGGGGCGCCTGGGTGGCTCAGTTGGTTAAGCGGCCGACTTCGGCTCAGGTCATGATCTCACGGTCCGTGAGTTCGAGCCCCGCGTCGGGCTCTGTGCTGCCAGCTCAGAGCCTGGAGCCTGTTTCAGATTCTGTGTCTCCCTCTCTCTGGCCCTCTCCTGTTCATGCTCTGTCTCTCCCTTTCTCAAAAATAAATAAAATGTTAAAAAAAAAATTAAATATATATATATTGATACTCCTAGTGAAACTAAAAACCAAGGACTTTCCAAGTCCTTCAATTATTTTTATCCAAAATTTAGGAAGTGAAAAAGAGATGTCTCCACTGACACGAAAATGCAAATCTGCTTTGTCTTAAGCGCAGTATCCTACCAGACAATAGATTACATTAAGGGCTGACCCTAGGACTATATTGTATATTGTGTATTATATATTATATAAATTATTTAAGAGTATATAATATAAATAACAAGTATATTCTAGACAATTCTTCAAGAACTTTTACTGTGAAGGTATAAAAAGAGGTAAGGTGGTAACTAGAGGGAGGTGAGGAGTCAAAAGGGAAAAAATGTAGGATGAGAGATTTCAGCATGTTTAATTTGGGATTTAATTCCACTCAACATACTAGTTGAGTGGAATGTGTTAATACATAGAAAAATAATGAATAATTGAGAACATAAAGTCCCTTAGAAGTTTAAACTGATGAGATACAACCTACATGAGAGAAGATTCCTACCAGAGGGCAGTGAAAATGGAAAAAGAGACTTTTGATCTTCTGTGTACATATCTTGGTCTATGACTACCTTTTGCTTTACCCCATCTGTGCAGTTGTTTATGTCACCTTCTCTTTCTGTCTTGCCTTCTCTGCTCTCCACTCTTATTTCTCCATCCTTATTGGGCACAAGTTAAAATTAAAAGGGTCTTTTGTGGGGGTGCCTGGGTAGCTGAGTCGGTTGAGCATCCTACTTTTGATCTCTGCTCAGGTCATGATCTCATGGTTTGTGAGTTCAAGCCCCATGCCGGGCTCTGCACTGACAGTGTGGAGCCTGCTTGGTATTCTCTCTCTCTTTCCTTCTCTGTCTGTCTGTCTGTCTTTCTCTCTGAAAATAAGTAAATAAACCTTTAAAAAAAAAGTACATATTAAAAGGGTCTGTTTGTACAGCTCTTTTTAATTGTCTCTGACAGGACACTTGTTATGCGAATTCAAAACAAATTTGTCCCTAAAAAGCATGTGAATTAAGTTCCTTTTTAATTATATGAATGTTGTTGGAATATCATCTATATTTAAGGGTTCTTGACAATAAAATACCATAGCATGATTGATAAGAATTTACTTTAAAAAATTAGTGGAATGAGCTCAAAGGTAAACATGTAAAATATGACTTGGATTTTTATTTTGATATTAGCCACAGAGAATAAACATGTATTTCCTCCTACTAAATCTGCATTGTACCTGTAGGATAGATGACAGAAGTAGAGCAAACTTGAATAAGCCACTTGTAGTGATTGAGGTCAATTCAGTATCAAGATAGAAGTTCTTCTTAAACGAAATGGAGCGGAGATCACAGCTCTACAGATAGATTGTAATTCATACTCATGCACAGTTTGTCTTTCATTTCAACAAATTTTGAAAGGGATCACATAGAGAAAGTCTTAGTTTTCACAAGGGTTATTCTCCTTTGGGGAAGTTCAGAAAAATTGTCTTACTATATATATACTTTTTAAAGTTTCTGAAGTTTAAATTTTTCTGGCACCCTTTGTGTCTGTCCTGAACAAAAGCTGACTCTTTATTCAGCATTTGTTCTGTAAAGAAATCCTGTGTCCTTTCCTCTGAGTAATTTACTGTGTTATTATCTGCATATTTTAAATCCACACAGCCTATTCTACCGTAGAATCCTCAAGGACTTATCCTGATGTGTATTATCCATGTATATCTGAGGCATACTCCAATATCTAGTGATTTATTTTGGTTAACAAACTGTTAGGTAGCCAAAGCCGAGTGGATATTGACCAATAATTGCATGACTACCAGAACCACACATCCTGATCAGCCACTTTTTAGTAGCTGGCCAGTGTAAAGGAATGCATGCAGGGTTTGATATTAATTGAACAGAAGCTGGAAAAGTTACTAATAGTTGGGCAGCAAGAACCTTAGAACTTGCTCAAACCCAAACATCACATAAAACCACTGCAAGCATTTTTAACACATCATCTTGTTAGATATTTGGTCCAGAAAACAAAATAACAAAAACTGCTGTTGAGTTTTGTAAATGGACTGATTTTTACCTCCTGTTTGATCTTACTAATTTCTATGAAATAAAAACTTCTTGTTAGGTGTATGTATATTTGTGTGTGTGTGTGTGTGTGCGCGCGCGCGTGCATGCGTTAGTACATATCTGTGCAAATTACTTTTTATTAAGAAAGTAGAAAAAAAAGAAAGGGACACCTGGGTAGCTCAGTTGGTTAAGCATTCAACTCATGATTTTTGATAGCATGGAGCCTGCTTGGGACTCTCTCTCTCCCTCTCTCTCTGCCCCTTGTCTGCTCTCTCATTCTCTCAAAATAAATAAGGGTGCCTGGGTGGCTTAGTCAGTTAAGCATCTGACTCTGGATGTTGGCTTAGGTCATGATCAGACAGTGCTAAGATGAAGCCCTGTGTCAGCCCTGTGTGTTGAAGGCATGGAGCCTGCTTGAGATTCTCTTTCTTCTCTTTCTGCCCCTCCCCCAGCTCTCTCGCACTCTCTCACTCTCTCTCAGAATAAACATTTAAAATAAATAAATATTTTAAAAAGCAGAAAATAAATTTACATAATGCGAAACTAGCATTAAAACCTTAAAGACTGGGAAATAAAAAGGATTCTGAGCAGGATTGCTTTTAACTATATCAAATGAAGAGATTTAGTGGTAAATGATTTATGAAAATTAAGAAAGGAACAAATGACAACTTCTTATAATACCTATATATAATTTGTCAATGGCCTTTCAGGCAACTCTGCTCAAAATCAGCTTCAAGTGCTTTGCCATTTTCCCCACATAAATTTTCAGTATTACAAGTTGTTTCCTGTTGTCCTATAATTCCATGGCATTTGTCCTGTAACTGCATACAGAGAATGATAAGGAAACTACTCAAGTTTATGTAAGAAGAAAGAATAAATATAATGTATTATCAGCTCTAATCTTGAGAGTAACTCAAAATGTCCTTTATGTCTCTGATTTTCTAAAATATAAAGGTTTTTCACACGTTCTTGATAGTTAATATTATGTAAGCTATGGATTACATGCCTTTAGTCTTAGAGCCCAGAAACTATGTAATAGCAACAATCTTCACTTCTTGAAGCAGATGGTGACTTTTGAACTGCACTAAATCTATAAGATATTAGATTTATTCATAAAACGTTGCCATGTCAATATGGAAAGTTTGGCGGGCTTTTCATCTTAAAAAGGTCAAACTTCATCACTTCAATATTAATTTCTGTATCTTTTCCATCAGCACTTCCATCTGGTATTTCTTAGAGGAAATGTAGGAAAACTATAGCGAAATATGGCACAGTACTTTATCATTACATTGACTTGTACATAAATACATAAATCTAAACATTGATCTTGCTCCCTTATCCATGCATAACACAGTAATC